GTGCGTGCGTGCGTGCGTGCGTGCGTGCGTGCGTGCGTGCGTGCGTGCGTGCGTGCGTGCGTGCGTGCGTGCGTGCGTGCGTGCGTGCGTGCGTGTGTGTGTGTGTGTGCGTGTGTGTGTGTGTTTCCCACCGTGTATGTGTGTGTGTGTGTGTTTTCCCACAGTGTGCTTTTTTCCCACACACTCGGAGTCCTGCCTGCTCTCCCTCCCCCCTCTGTCTGTCCCTACGAAGGACTCCTCCCTGTCGCCACCCCAGACGCGTCGGTGGGATTGGTCGGGCGTTTCGGTTAAGACTTCCCCATCGTGTCTAATCGTGAAGCTTGGAATTCGCAAGAACGTCACGGGTTATTGGGGTCGTTTTCACAAAATGTGGACGTCGCGTTAGCGCCGCGCACATTCGTCTTAGAAGCCTGCGACAGTTTCACGGATGGAGCACAGGTAATTTTCAAAATCGTGCTCTCGCCCGAGCGCCGCGCGCATTGCTTCAAGGATGAAAAAGGGGTATGCTTCGAAGCGCTGCGCAGATGCACCGCGACGTTTGCAACTGCGTCACGGACTGAGAGCAGCTGTTTTGTTCCCCACATGCTTACAGTCGTTGCGTTGACCTAAGGAAACCTAAATAAGGAACGAGGCTCCTTTTTTCCATAAGTTAAGCTTCGAATTCCGATCGAAGACCCGAGGAAAACCAAAGGCGAGCTGCAAAACAAGTAAGGAACATTGAGCCCCTCCCAAACGAAAAGGGTTCCTTCTTCAGCGCCCCGATTGTAGCGGGGTTATGGTCTTCTTCCCTCCCGCATCGCACCCGCGCCCCTCAGCCACGGCCCGCTCCGGGTGCCCCACCCCGCCGCCCAGTGGTGCCCCCTGCCCGCAGCGCATCTGGAACCCCACAGGCAGATCGAGGGTACAGTGCACGATAAGTTACTCTCGCTGGGAGCCTTCGTTACTATGCTCACTGACCCGTGGATCATCCTGGCCGATTGGAATATGACACCTGAGCAGCTCGCAGCAACAGAGTGGCCCGCCAAATGGAATGCTACCATCGTGCGAGCGCCTGGATCCGCCACGTGCGACAAGGGCCAGGGACTCACGCTCGACTTCGCATTGGTCAAGACTGGCATCGAGCACACGTTCTCCATTCGCCAATGCCCCACCGTCCCCTGGGCCACCCACGTGGGCCTTGAAGTTCGAGCAGGCAGCGCAGACCCCTGGTGGTATCAGTCGATCCATACCCCTAGGGCATTCCCCATAGTGGACAGACCCAGGATCCCACCAGACCCCAACAGCAAGACCGCCATCAAGAAGCGCAAAACAGCAGAAGCTCGAAGAAGCTCGAGCAGCACGCCTACGCGATCTACCTCCTGAACTCCAACAAGCAGCAGCACAACTCCAGCCACAA